GTTTTTATGTGCTCAAACCAGTATCTCTTCAGCCATCCCATATGCTCCCAGGTATCAATATGCCTCTGAGGTTTGTCCCTTGTAGGCAGTACTGTCACTTAGCCTACTCCTCTACCAGAAAGCTTAAATCTTACTGTGTATCACAAGGGCAGGGCATGGGTTGCCTCTAAAGCTCAAGGACTTGCTCTGTACATCATATACTGAAGGAGGTAAGAAGAATTCAGTTGCTGATAGCTCTGTTCACAAGGAGGAAATATGTCCACCATACTGGATCAGTTAGTTCAGAGGAGTCTGTAGCAGCAGAGGCTCAGTGAAGAAGACAGGGGCCAGATGGTTTTGTTTAGCTGTGATCTGGTACAGCAGGTTCAAAGGTATGTTGCAGGAGCACTTAATATAAGGACAAATTCACCAGGTTATTAGACACAAATATCTGGTCTCTTTTGGGAAGGCCTGTGGTCTCCTGACAATGACATGCAGGAATCTGAATTAATTCCTACTCTCTGCTTGCCTTGTTTAAATACTCTTCCTTCATCTGCTTCGTCTTCCTTCAACAGCATCTGCTGCTGCCAGAGGATGATGGAGATACAGGCTTCTAGTCTGGCCCTGCACTGTCATTTTTAAAAAACCTGTCTCACAGTAGCACTTCAAATGACCTCAGAGTACTTTGAGATGTTTTTTCCAGATGTTTAACTCTCCAAACACAAACACTGCCATGGAGTACAAGACAACTGAGGATGTGCACAGAGTTGAGTGTGTGCATTGACATGTCTGTGTGCAGCTGACATTAAATACACATTGAAGTTCACTGGCCAGTTATTCTCTTTCAGTTTTATCACTGAGAAATAGCTGTTTAAGAACGAACTGTGTGTGATGCTCAGAGTGCAGTTCCAGGCTTAGAAACGTAGTTTAAAAATGTTTTATGCAAAGAGCATTCTAGAAATTGTATTTATAGTGAAGAGAGTGAGAGATTTATATTGTGCCCTTTTAAAAACATATGATAACTTTCTGAAAATTGTCAACTCTACTTACCTTAAGTATATCATGCAGTAAATGGGGTGATGCTGTCTGTTCACTGGCTTTCTCCTCCTGGCTTATGTTGACTTTTAGCCTCTAAATGTCTTCCATTTTCATGGGATTGATCTTTTTGTCTATTAAGCTAGTCTTCAAACAGGATTTTTGATGAAAAAAATTTCTCAGTCTCCTGCTACTACAGAAAGAGCCCCTTGTAAATGCTAATATTGAACTTCAGTGGAGAAGTAATCTTTGTGAGCAAAACCATAAAAATACCCTTTTAAAAAGTACAGACCTCACCTTATCTCTGATGGCAATTTAATAGAGTCTGAATTATCTGCCTATGTCAAAGCAAAATTAAATGTTTGGAGGTAAAATTCTATGTTAACTCCAGAATGTTTCAGTTTCCACCTACTACCCTCTGACAAGCATGCCTGATATCTGAATTGTATTGTTTTAAATATCTCATGACAGGTAGCTCTAGTGTAACCAAGAAGTTATTTCAGCTGCCCTACAATACCTTTTTGGTTTAATATTTGGGATCTTCTCTCCAAATAGTACTGTTATTTTCACAATTCTGCACTCTTGTATCATGGTCTGATTTTTTTTTTTTATTAATCCCTTATGGTAGAGGCACACATCCCTTAATCCCAGCAAAAAAAACCCGCCACACTAAAATGCATTGAATAAACCAAGCAACAAATCCTGTTGTGAGCAACTTTCATATTTAATGCATCTCTGAAGGTCATGAGAAACAGCCACCTCTCCTGCTGCTGCTGCTCTTGCTTTCTCTGAGGATGGTTACCTTATTTTTTAATTTTACTTGTTACCTAGGCAATCCCACTGAGACAGGCAGTGGGGTCTTCTTGAAATTCAGTAGATTATTGGGTATTTCTATCCTAAAATCTGCACTTTCACTTAACAGAGGGGGCTTAGAAAGTGTGAAGGGACTTCTGTGTTAGTCATGGTTAAGAGGGGAATTTGGCTGCAAAGCAGTGCCAGGCAACGTCACATCAGCTCTAACTGCACTAGGCACTATACAAATATGTAGGAGTTTCTCCCTTAAAGCATAAAACCCACAACAAAGTGGAGAATAAATAATGTAGATGAATGGGTTATGATCTTACTGACATGCATCATTGAAGTGTTAAAGATGAAGTGAAAGATAGGGGAGAAAAAGATCTTTCCGTCACCCCCTTTCTGCAGGCTCACAGGCTATTGCACAGCTTTCCTGAAATGAGTAAAACCTCCAAAGAAGCCATAGTTCACAACACAGAAGCAGAACAGTAATGCTTGCCACTTGATCTTGTGTGGGTGGCTCTCTTAACCAGTTGCAGTCACTGCCTTTATTCACTGTTCAGGATATTGTGAAACATCTGAGATTGAGCTCCAAAATGAGTAACAGGAGCTTGCTGGAAGCAGAGTTATTTGTTGTTATTTAGAACTTGTGACTTTAATGTTAGTTACTACTGCATCTGGGTGTTCCTGCTGTTCTGGATGTAGATAGCCTTCTACAAAGCTTAGAGTAAGTTATGCTATGGTTTTCCTATTGGAGAAAGGAGAACAGTACTCTTAAGCACTTTCTTCTCCCTCAAAGTTTTGGTCCATTAATTGGTTTGGTGGTAGCTTGGATTAATATTTTCATTTGATTAGTCTTTAAATGTGGCTCTTGTCTATAATATCTGTTGTAATCTGGAGCTATAACCTTTCATGATGTAGTCTATAAAACGTTCACAAACAGTTCTGAGTATAAAAACTCGGAGAGAGAGTTGGGGCTGTTCAGCCTGGAGAAGAGAAGGCTCCAGGGAGACCTTACAGCACCTTCCATTACTAAGAGAGGAGAGATTTAGGTTAGATATTAGGAAGAAATTCTTCACTATAAGGATGGTAAGGAACTGGAATGGGTTGCCCAGGGAGGTTGTTGATGCCCCATCTCTCGAGGTTTTTAAGGCCAGGTTTGATGAGGTTTCGTGCAATCTGGTCTAGTGGTAGGGTTCCCTGCTTGTGGCAGGGGGGCTGGAACTTGGTGATCTTTGAGGTCCCTTCCAACATTAATAATTCTATGATCATTCTGGAAATCTAGTAGTCTCTAGTACATCACTGAGGGACTGAACAAACATGGCATTTGTGCTCGATGGAGCTGCTGTTGCAGGGTATGTTCTAACTTAGTCTGCCCTTTTCCTTCTTTTTGGTTTGAGCTGGGGTAGGTGGCAGCCAGAGGTCTAGAAGCTTCTGCAGTGCTCTCATGTCTGCTTGTCCTGCAATTCTGAAAACCACGGCCAAGAGCAAATTTCTACCTCTGTGCCATCACTTAGAAGACCATTATCTTGAGGACTGTATCTATTTATAGCAAATGTTATTAATAGAAGAAAGGAAGAATGTTCTTTTTTATATGAAAGCAAGGTTAAATCTTAATCATTAAACTGAATGTAGATAAGGAAGTCCCTCAGATGCTTCTGTTGTGGCAATTCAGGGCTCTGTTTATGTGGATTGTGCTTCCAAGACTTGCTGGACAGCAGCCTAGGTACATTGTGTGGGAGCCTTCCCACAGGACACATGTTGGTGCTACTGCGTAGATGAGGGAGTGTTCATACCCACCTCTGGTAATGTCATAGCCCTCTCCTGGGAGGAAACTATCAGGAGGATGGAATTGTTGCTCAGTATTGGCAGATTTTATCTCACTGCTATGAAACACTAATCAGCTTACCAGGAGGCTCTGGTTTCTCAGCCCTCAGCTGACAGGGGTAGGGAGAAAGAAGGAGTAATCCAATTGAATTGGAAATGCAGACTTGACTTTACTTCTCATGTCACCTCTTGAACCATAATAAAGGGAGAAGCACTTGGGAAGCAGGACCATCTCATTTTATTTGCACAGTGTCAGGGTAATGGTATCCACTTCCCAGCTGGTTGCGTGTAAAGTGGTACCTCAGAACCAAGTGTTTTGAGGAGTACATCACTGCTGTTTCCTGGTCACAGGCAGGGTGAAAGGGTGGACTGTTGAAGAGCAAGGCAATTTATTTTTGTGAAGGATATCTTGACACTGGAGAGAGAAAGATGAGCTAGTTCTTACTTTTTTTTCTCCTCTCTGTGCTGTTAGTACAAGGGGGTGACTTGTGTCTTTGTGACACTTGGAGAACAAAGGAAGAAATTCTGCCAGAGTGTCTTGGGAGATGACAACAATTTGGAGAAGTATTACAAAACTGAGCACTTAGGATAGCTTTAAAACTGGGATCTTTTGCTCCAGTAAGTGCTGGGGCATACGTCTGTTCCAGTGAGCATCTTCCAAATGTATAAGCACTGTTTCTTCATGGCTGAGTGACATAAAAGCTCTGTAAGCTTTAAAATGCAATTTTGCGATGTAACGTGATGGTGCAAAAATGGCACTAAGTTCTATTCATGGGTCTTTCACCAGAAATAATTGGCAGAGAGCTGCTTCAGTAACACAAGTTAACTGCAGCAGTGTTGAGAAATGAACAGGGTTCTGTTTCCCTTATGTAAGCCAATAGAGCTTTTGTGTAAAAGCTGGTAAGAGATGAAGATGTTTGTACTGGGTCAGATGGTATCAGCCGATGGGATTTTATTACTGTTAATGATGTGTCATAATGGAAAAAAACTGAATCTGTAAGACAGGTGTGTGTGCAGGGTCCATGCTTGCAAATGTAAACATCTGCTTTGGAAGCACATGATGTGGGTGGGGTACAGGACCTTGCTATGTAAGATTTTTAAAGTCACCTTTTAGTATAAGACCAGTTTTTTTAAGAGGTGCCCATAGGTTGTAAAAGTGTTCCAGATCATAAAGATATGCCCTTCATTACCTTGTATGTGATCTTTTTTTGCTATTTATTTCCACTCCTTTTAAGGTATTTTAAAGGCCAGATTTAAATTAACACATTCTTCTCTGTTTTCAGAAATGAATAAAGCTAGCAGCCCTACATAATACGTTGATGGCATTCGGCACTTCATCGGGACTGATAAATCTAGAGAGTGTGATGCCTAGAAATCTCCTCTCAGATTCTCCTGAAATGGCATCTGAAGTCTCTCCAAAGCACACACTTGGGAGCATGGAGAGGGACAGCAGTGTGGAGAATCCTGGCAGCCAAGCTAGGTGCAGGAATGTTGGCTTGGTAAGTGTTTAATGAGCATTATGCTTAGTGGTACAAGTTGCATTAGTAGTTTTGTTCACATCACGGTTTTGGTGGGGTTTTTTTGTAAGTGTTGATGTTTGCCATTTCTAGTCCTAAATGAATGCTTGTGATCTTGGCTGTTAACAAACTAAAAGGCCAGAAGGAACTGCTCTAATTTGGTACAAACTGCTCATTATTCTGGTCTCATTGTCTCTGAGAGGTTGGAGAGTGCTTCCCTCTGGCTGTTCCTCCCAGAGAATCAGGGATGCAGTAAGGAGCACACATGATGCTGGGCAGCTCAGTGTAACCACCTGCATGTGGTGCACAGTTCAGTGGGCATCCCTGCCCTCACTTTCCTGAGTAGCTTCTATAGGAACTTCAGGGTAGCGTTGGTTCTGTACACTGTTTCTTGCTTCAGGTCCTTGTTGACACCACTGAATGGTCTTAGCTTATTCCACCTTCTTATAATTAGGTGAGTAATGAATATGTCACCATAAACAAAGTTGTACTCACATCAGTGAATATGTGTGTGGCCATTTAAATGGTATGTGAGTAACTGAGGGAGTAGGATGCACTTTGGCATTTTCCAATTAGTAGGATGATTCAGGCAGTGATCTCAACAGTACTGTTTGTACTGTGACAGGCTAAGCCTAGAAAGCAGGTTCTTTGCACATATTTTTTTTTTCATCTTCACAACCATTTGATAAGCATCCATTTTTAATTGGAGAGAGCACTCCAGTAGACATGCTTTCCCTAAATGGGATTCTACATCTTTGTCTTGCCTTAAATGTAGAGTTAGGCTTTCCATATCTTTCTCTCTGCCCTTCCTGCTAGCTACCTTTAGTGAAGTAGTTTGTGACTGTGAAAGAGTAAGTGATGAAAAATAATAAGTTGACTAGTTGATACCTGTGTTTATGCTTCAGGAATGCTCACTGTTTTGGCTACTCTGAGCTTTTTGGCAACTGAGGTAATTCTAAAGATATTCCTTCTTGGTTGTTTCTAATGAAAATATAACTCCAATATTCTGCTGTATCCTAAAGGCAGTTCATGTTGCTAGTTGAAACACATAACTATTACTGAATTTAGTACCTTAACTGTTTGTGATCTGCTCTAGAGCAGAAGGGAGGCTGAGAGAACAGCCAGGTACAACACTTGGACTCGTATTTAAAGTATGTTGCTTATTATATGGAAACTGATTGGATCTTAGAGAATTACAGTGGGAGTTGCAGTTTAAGGAATTGCAACTTAATTTTATTCAGAATTACAAGTTATTTTTATGCACTGCTCTGACTGCAGTTTTCCAGGTTATCAAGTTAGTAGCCAATCATGTTTACATGGGTGTTATTCTTAGCTGCAGTAGCAGGTGTGAAGACTGTCATTTGAAAAAATCAGTATTGAATAACAAGGCTATCTATGAATCAGTATGTTTGTATTGTCCTTTCCTGAGTCTGCTGTGTCAGAAAATGATACAGATTCCCTTACTCTAACTAGATCTTACCATGTGATAACGCATGATGATGCATCAGCTAGAATTGGAATCCCTTCCTACTCTGTAATGTGGTAATTTATAGAAGGAGCAAAAGTTGGCTGCAGGTTTAGGCAATTCCCATGAGACCTGTGCCTCAGTAAAATCATTTTCTGAAGCCTTTAGTTTGTCTTGTTTGAGTTTGCGCATGAAGAAAGCGAAGCATGTATTGACAAGCTTAATTCTGGTGCCCCAAATCCCTTTCCATGGCTCTTCTTTCAGTAGTGTAGTAGGGAGCATGTCTAATAAGGCTGACAGCTACTATGTATGGAATAATAGGTTGGGGTGTGGAAACTCTTGTCAATAAAAGCATAATTTCAGTTCGTGTTTGAGAGAGGGTCTGTTGTGAAGTCAATATGAAGGAAATTCTGGCAATTGTAATTGAGTAAATAGGACTAAAGTCTTTAATGCTGCTGAGATCTTCCCTTTTTGTGATCTGATGTCAGAAAACAGTATTGCTCCACAAACTGACACCTTTTATGTGTTCAGCACTGAAACATGCTTTAGAAATCCTCAGGATAACAAGCAGTATTCTTCAAATATTTATTTTTCTGTATCCTTGTGTAGTTGTGGATTAGAAGTGTGATTTTTACAGCCCAATAAGCACCAGGGGATTCTTAAGAGGAAAAGCTAGTTGCTGGAACACCCTCCTAGAGACTTTAAATTCTTGCTTCAGTAGCTTTGCTATAAAGGTTTAGAAGATGCAGAAGTTTTGATGGCTGAATGAGAGGGAGTGGGTAGAGGGCTCTGAGTAGAGAAGTAATTTCCTATTAGACCAATTCTGGGAAAGGAAAGGAAGAAAGGGACAACTTTTCAGGCACACCAGACCACCTTAGCTCTGAAACAGACTTACTTGCCTCTTCATTTATTGCTTTTCTGGGTCTGTTCAACTAAAAGCACAAGGAAGGTCAGGGTTGACTGAATTTTTTTTTTTTTTAATGGCCTTGCAAGGCAAATGACTGTAGCAGTGTTTTTATGATAGGCCTGTACTGCTGCAGGTTTCTTCCTACTCAATTACAAAAAAAGAGTCTCTTAAGCTTCTTGGTGTCAAACTACATTAGTCACTAAATATAACCTTTGTATTGCATGTGTGGAATTCAAACAAACCTTGAGATGTGATAATAGAGACAAACACTTGGGCTGGCTGGAGCCTGGGCTGGCTGCTTGGAGCTGGTTGGGCTGTTGGCTGCTCTCACATCCCACATGTCTGCACTGGCACTACTTGCTGTGGAGCTGGGTGTGGGTTTAGGTATGACTAGGAGATGGACAGGAATTGCCATGTGCCAAAAAGAACTTAACATTCTGTGTGTGAAATTCTTGCCAGGCAGCTGTTACCTGTTTAATGTTGTCAGATTTCTCAGCTTCTTCTTACCTACACCCAGTGGTGCTTTTAGCTAATCTTTGCTAATGGCATTTATTTTGTCAAGTGGAAAGCAAGCTGCTGATGTCCTTTATTGACTGTAGTAGAATTTTCAATATAAATGACAGATGTTCTCGTCTGGATTTATGCTGTCAAATTTATCACAGCAGCTGAAGATTAGTACAAGAGCCTACGTTTAGATGGGAGGAATGTTTCCCTTGATATTTTCATCTCACACCATCACCTAAAGCTTTTTCCTCTCTATCTTATAGCCATGAAAGTTCCTACATATGAGGACATGAATTTGCACATGTATTCTGGTTTCTTTTCAATGAAGGTGGTATCCATACCTATGCTTGGCAAAAGCAAAGGACAGGTGTAACCTCTCAATACATGGAATCAGTTTCTCTGTCCAAGGGGGTAAACAAGAATGTTCTGTTCTGCTTGGCAGTTCTGACTTCTAAAACCCATTCTTGAATGACAGTCCCTTATACAAGGTGTAACAATTAACTTGCATTGATATATCGTTGCAGCATTTAAGGATACTTAATTTGGAGATAAAACAAGGTCTCAGGGTTTTTTGAATTGTAGAATCATTGAATGGTCAAGGTTGGAAGGGACCTTAAAGATCATAAGGTTCCAACCTCCCTGCTATGAGCAGGGACACCTCCCACGAGACCAGGTTGCACAAAGTCTCATCCAACCTCGCCTTGAGCCCCTCCAGGGAGGGGGCATCAACAACCTCCCTGGGCAACCTATTCCAGTGCCAATTCCTGAAGCAATTTGGCTCATTCCATTGGCCAAATAGGCTCAAACCAACTTCTTAAAGCAAATCCTTTTCCAATGCTTCACTCTGGTAATTGTGCTGTGCATTTCTTCTCAGCCATGAGTAACTGCTTGAGTTTCTAGGTGTGAATAACATGATAGGACAATAGTATCACCTATGAAAATCAGACTGGGAGGTACTGGTTGTACTTGAAGTGAGCTTTGCTACTTGGAACTTCACTAGTAATAAGCTGTGTCAGTGCCTTGGATCTGTTGATATGACTTCAGTTCTGTATCTTATGTCCCTGAGCATGTCTTAATGAGTGATAGGTTTGAGCGATGGTGAGTTCTTGATATTCTCAATGGATCATGCTGTGTTGGGTTTTTTGTTGTTTTTGGGGGGGGATTTATTTTTTGCCTTTGTTTCAGGCAGAACCTCAGTTAATGCCATGGTTCATCACTACTCTCTTTGGGGCAGTAGTGTCCTTGAGAATTTGGTCAGACTTTCTTTTGGTAGCTAATCAAATAGCTTAAATTGGCAGATGGCCATAACTGTAGAAAGATGTCTTGCTTATTCTGTTTAACAAGCTTCCACTGTGGCTCTAACAAGGCTACCCATCACTGAAGATAGTTGGTCACTAGCAGACACCTCGTATAGTATAGGTGACATTCTGAATATTGGTTACATAGAAGAAGTGTCTTGTGAGTGGTCTGAGCTGGCTCAGTATCTTGCTCAGTATCTGTATGTGTGAAATTCAGCCATGTAAGTCAGGGTTGACATGGTTATTTTATAGTTACAGTGTTTCTTGGAGCCTAAAAATGAGTTGCTATAACCTTTATCCTTTTTGGATAAGTCCAGGTAATTCAAATGCAACATACATGATGTTCTAAGTGCCCTGAGTCACTATGTTTTTGCCCCAACCTGGGGGGAAAAAAAAGTTGTGGGATTCAACTGTGGTTTTAGGAGTTACTGGAAAAGGACAGATTGTGTGTGTTAGCCCACTGCCACCTTCTGTCTCACAATTTGAGTGTACAGTCTTGTGATGCTGAGCTGCACTTCGGATACATTCAAGGAAAAGTCCTAAGAAAGACTCCTTTCATAAAATTAAGGTGTTTTTCCTCCTTCATAGTGATTCTTTTTAGGCTTTACTGTAGTACAGGGTCTTTCACCATCTCCAAGTACTTTGTCAAATAACAACAATATGCAACAAAATGAGAAGAATTTTTATGACTGTTTGATAATTTCTGTAGATATAGTTGGGTTTGAGTACGTGGAAGCCATTCCCTACAGTGTGTGGAGGGAGCTATGCTGTGCTTCATCCACTCCAAATTGGTATTAGCAGCACTTGG